TCTAGGTCTGTCCATCTGCTTGGAGAAATGAAATTCATTGTCTGTTAATATTTATTTAGTTGTCCAACTCCTAGCTACAGTGCTTTTACCCTCTTTCTTTCTCATTCCCATTCTGATATTTTTATTTTTTTATATATTTACTCTTTTGCATCAGTTTCCCTTCGTTGTTCACTTCACAGAACAATGAGCAGTCATTTCAATACTTTTAGACAATTGGATAAAGGTTTCAGTTCTATCTTTTGAATTTTCACCACCATAAGACAGAAAATTGAAGTTTTGCTTCAATTGTTCTTTTGACTTTCAGCCTCAAGTTTTGACAAAATAAACAATAATTATTGCAAATAATTACATACAATGCTTGCGTATATTACACAAGTATCTGAAAGTGTTGACAAAATGTAGCAAGATTTGTGTAACCTTATAAAAGAGGCATATTACAGTAATAACAGTATGAGTATTTGAGATTATTGTATATATATGATCTATGATCTCAATATTTTTTTCTAAAGCACATTTGTGAGTGATAATGTAATGTCATAAATGGAAATTAAATATATGGAATGGAATAGATGGATAAAATAAATAGAAAAACAAATGAAATGTTTGATTTGTTTCCAAGAATATTCAAGTTATTTCCTATTTTAAAAACAAGAAAGACAGTTTTGTATATGAAGACAGTTGTGGGTCATGTTTTGTGCAATGAATCAGTGTTAATTCTTAAAGGGGTCCAATTATGCTCTTTTGCAAAGTCTTGATTTTGTTTTGGGGGTGTACTAGAACAGGCTCTCATACTAGGTTGTTCGAAAAACACATTATTTTTCACATATTTTACATTATTACAACACCTCTCCCCCCAGTCTGGCATGAACGGCTCGAATAGTTCCTGTATCAAAGAAGGCCCGCCTTCTGAAATACGAAATGTGCTGTGATTGGTTAGCTGGGCCAGTGTGTGTTGTGATTGGCAGCACTCGGCTCCTGGTCGGGAAATGTCATTCCCCTTACCATAGCCGCCTGCGAGCTTCAGTGTAAATATTGCATCAAAATCAACTCAATTTGAACGCGATTTAAACCCGGATGATTGTAACCACTCTAAGTTTGTTTGCCTTTGGAAAGCTAGCATGTCTCCGACATAGTGATAACACTCGTTGCCTTCTCTAGTGCAGCTCAACCAGGTCTCATCCCATTCGTCGGTATTTGTGATATCACAAATCCTGGAAAATATGCGTTGTAGTCTAAACGAGTCGTTCGTTGGAGTTTTAGAAAAGTGATTTCTGTTCAATAAAATATCTCCTTTTGAATTGGACTTTGAGCTTTGTAACTTTGCAGATATTTTTTTATGCTCAAACAGCAACATTACAGACTAACTAAAGTTGAAAAAGTGAAAAAGCATAATAGGACCCCTTTAAAACAAAGTTACAGTTTTTTCTCGAACAGTATGTTATTACAAATGGAGATATATTGCCCTTGGGACAAAAAAGAGAAATAAAGGTTGAACAAGACTGCCTGAGGCATACAAGCGAAACATTGTTTGATGAAAATTACCTGCTATCATTGAATCAAACAGCATATCATGGTGAGGATAGGAGTGCAGCATAAAGGTCACTGGAGAAGGAGACTGTCGAATGATATTGAATAAAGGAAAGACACTTAAAACACCCTTTAGGCTACTGACAGCATTTCTCTTGCTGCTTCACTTAAAAAGATTTGTATCCATGTGCAAACATGCAGTTTGCACTTCAATATAATGTGTAAGTGGATTCAAGTACTGTAAACTGGAAGAATTTGTATTGATGGAATTAGCCTCTGATGTGAAAGACTGATTTGGTTATAGTGGTGTGTGTTTGTTTGTGTGTGTGTGTGTGTGTGTGTGTGTGTGTGTGCATCTGGCTGTCAAGGCCAGACACCTGTAAACAACATTAACACTCCTAGACAAGAGCGTGCTGAATCTTCTAGATGACTTATGTGCTTTGTCTTTCACTTTCTCTCCTTATTCTCGTTCTCTCTCCCGTGATTGAAAGAAAACTTCAGCACCATCTACAGGTGATGAATAATAGACCAAGCTCAAAGATGTTAAAGGTCCCATGACATGCTGCTTTTTGGATGCTTTTATGTAGGCCTAAGTGGTCCCTAGTACTGTATCTGAAGTCTCTTTCCCGAAATTCAGCCTTGGTGCAGAATTTCAGCCACTACGAGCCAGTCCCACAATGAGCTTTCCTTAGGACGGTAACCTTTCCCCGTATGACGACATAAAGGGAAGATTCCAGATTGGGCCATCTGAGCTTTCATTTTCTCAAAGGCAAAGCAGGATACCCAGGGCTCGGTTTACACCTATCGCCATTTCTAGCCACTGGGGGACCATAGGCAGGCTAGGGGAACTCATATTAATGTTAAAAAACCTCATAAAGTGAAATTTTCATGCCATGGGACCTTTAAGAATAGCGACAGCTCTTCATTTTGCCATAAACCAAGGACACAAATGGGTAGGGCTACATATAATCTTTCCAAACTCATGTAGACAGTGTTACCAGACAGCATAACAGTCTTTCTCAAGTAATAGGAGGTTCTACCCTGCTGAGCTGACCAATTTAGAACAGCATAAATTTCATGTTATGCTCTTAAAAATAAAGGTTCCAAAAGTGGGGTTTCACAGCAGTGCCATAGAAAAAATCATTCTGGGTTCTCCAAAGAAGTTCCCCTTCAGGAACTCGAGCTGCGTCGAGTCGCTTTGGGAACGCCCCTGCGTGACCGCGTTCAAGTCAAGTCAAGTCAAGTCTGCTTTATTGTCAATTCTTCCACATGTACAGCTTATACTTTCTGGTGCTTACGTCACCCCGCTCGTGACGTCTCGCTACTCCATTGGACTGATTTGACACGTGCTTCAGAACGCGGTCACGCAGGGGCGTTCCCAAAGCGACTCAACGCAGCGTCTCATTCCCTCGGGGAACCATGGTTACATATGTAACCTAGAGACGTTTTCAATGATCAGTTCTTAAAAGAACCTTTTTTTTTCTTCTTAGTGTGAAGAACACTCTAATAATCTGAATAACTTTTTCTTGTTCACTTTTAAAAATAAAGGTTCTTAATTGGCATTGATGGTTCACTGAAGAACCTTTAGCATCCATGGAATCAATGAAAAAAAAATTATCTTAAGCCAAGTCCGTGGTTTTAGCATTTGGGCTAGTTTTGTTTCGCAGACCTGGCAACCCTGATTCAATGGCATCACTGTGAAAAAAAACAACACTTTTGCAACCTTTATTTTCAAGAATGTTGTGCAATGGAAAGGTTCCATGGACGTTAAAGGTTCTTCATGGAACCATCAAATGCCAAGAACTTTTATTTTTAAGAGTGCATGTAAGCTGGTTTGTTCCAGTTTGGTGTTCGTCTAGCTGGTGGCACAGCATGTCTAGTCTTTCTGATAAAACGTCTCAGGTTACGTATGTAACCATGGTTCCCTGAGTAGGGAACGAGACACTGCGTCCTCTAGGGGTTGCTATGGGGGACACCTTCAGTTTGACCGGTGTCTGAAGTAAATATCTAAAAACGACAATAACATTGGCCGGTGACAGTTTATGACGTCATTACCCTGCGCGATCACAGTATAAAAGGGGCGCCGGGACAACACATCATCTGCTTCTTCGTCTGAAGCTTGCGTCAGAAGCATGGCAGGGAAACTAGAGGACGCAGTGTCTCGTTCCCTACTCAGGGAACCATGGTTGCATACGCCACCTGAGATGTTCCCTTTCAAGGGAACTTAGAACTGCGTCCTCTAGGGGTCGCTATGGGGAACGGTATACCCACGCCACCATGCTGAGGGGAGTGCATGCCAAACCACAGGCGAGCACTAAGTAAAAACTCTACCAAAGCTTTAAGGGAGTTGCCCCTGGGCCCAGGGTAGAGCTCAAAGGCTTGAAATCAGAAAGAGATTCCTTTAAGGGGATACGACCAAGCGCCTAGAATCGTACTAGGTCTTGGCCTGTCACCCAGGGGGCTACCGCTTGCTCTGCATGAGCTTGCTGAAGGAACTGTCTCAACAGACCCTTAGTAGCAACACCCTGTTAAAGTAGGTATCCTGAGGATACATAGGTAGAGTGGTGCCCAAGGTGGAACCGGGGCCTAACCAACTCAAAGAAAGGGCACAAAGCCGCCGCGCGTAGCTCCTACCATACAGGATTTTAGAAAGAAAGCAAAATGCTTGATGTATGAACTTACCACAGCGTGGATTTTAGAAAGTGCACAGGAACTTTGCATGCGCACTTACCATATCATGGATTTTAAAGATACCATTCTAAGGGGCCCTCGTGGCACTCTGAAGGAGCGGTCCATAGATGGAAATGGCGCATCCCAAGGACAATACGTCTGAGAAGTCACCAACTCATCCTCATGGTATAATGCTGGAATGGCTAGCAGTAAGTTACCTAGCTGAGGAAGCATAAAACCCAGCTCTCAGCCGAGAGGGGGCTCGACCTACAGCATGTTCATCAGAAATCCTGAAGGGTAAGCGTACTGCAAGCTTAGCCAAAAACTCAGCGCAGGAGGCAGAGGAAGTGCCTAGTTCGCCTGATGTTGCCGGTTCCAGGTGCTCTGGGAAAACATCCTCAGAAGGGGAGAGAACTCGGACACTCAGAAGAAAGCACCATGCTCATAAATAACCCTTTACAGTGAGGGGAGCGATGCTTTAAAAATGTATCAACAGAGACACACTAGTTGAGTGGAGCCCAAGGCGAGTACTGGGGCCTAAGCCAACTCAGAGAAAGGGAACGAGGCTGACAACGCGTAACTCTTACCATACAGGATTTTAGAAAGTGCGCAGAGTGCTTAAGAGCAGAAGCACAAAGGAGGGGTTCCCACAGAAACACAAATCCTGCTTACCTCAGGGAACGCAGTGTACTCCAGCCGACTCCACAGAGGGGTGATTATTGGTTCAACCATAAGGGCAGTGTGACAGTGAGGACCCACGGGCCTGACCGTCTATGGAGCGTTGAGTTCTAGCTCAAGACTGCAGCCTGACCTGCTGCCGCTTATGCCCTACCAATCAAACAGGTTTGGATGGCAGGGAGGGAGCCTTAAGAGAAGATGTCTCCCCCATGGAGAGATAGCAGGCCAGCGTCTCTTCAACAGGTGGCATCTTCTCATAACCATTCTCACGCATCCCCTCGTCATTACCGCGCAGGGTAATGACGTATATAGGCTGTCGCCGGCCAATGTTATTGTCATTTTTAGATATAGGCTTCAGACACCGGTCACACTGAAGGTGTTCCCCCATAGCGACCCCTAGAGGATGCAGTTCGAAGTTC